TCTTAGCTTTAAAACTAGTAAAGAAAATACATATATCTGCATTTTTTGAAAGCCACCAAGGAAGCTTAGCTTGCTTGTCAAGATCAAGCCTTAATGACGTACAAATTAATTACTAAACATTTCATAGGACTTGTGTATGCCTGTGTTAGTATTTGCATTGTATTAATTGTATTAATTCTGTGTCTGGTATGAAAAATTAATAAATAAGTTATTAAAGTTATAAATAATGCTGTTGGAACTTTTTGACCTACTGTATATGATATATACCCATGGTCTGTTAGTTTGCACTGCATATATTTACTTAGGCTCTATCTCTGTGTTCAATGACAATTTTCACACATGTTATCAACCAAGTAAAACATGCTAAAATACAATACATAATGTCGTACGTATGCAATTCTTTACGTTTTGATTTGTGATTAATTATGGCTGACTGGTGGCCATTTTTATTCGTCTAAATCTTGATATTTGGATATATCCCTACTCATTTCTTGAAGATGACTAGGTCAATTTCATCTAACCTTTAACCTTATCATGTCAAGGTAAAGGACATGTGGCTGGCAGGATAAGGGGTGAACTTCATGTAATGTATGACGCATAGAAAATAATGTCCACCGCCATATTCACTGATGTTTAAATCATTTGACATTTCAATTGCTAAACACATCTCTAAACAATCTAATTCAATCTTACTTGGATTCTGTTCACCCCAAGGAAAATAGATAACTTGTTCAGTTTACTGGATTTACAAAATGTATACTAACTAGTGGTCTCTGCGATAAATAGAACTGTATTCAATCCTGACAACTATGCACATGCCTTGTCTTTTGAAATAAATGGCTATCCGGAACACATTCATCATTTGGGGGGGGGGGGGGCTTAGGGCGTATGCTATTAAAATATATTCAAATATGTCTGATAATTGAAAGTGATAATGACATGTAGGTCTCCTCAGGGTTTTAGCGAGCCACCAGTCCACCTACCAAATGGTCTGGCAACTTTGATTTTGGACTTGCAACTTTTTCCCATTTTTCTGTTTTTTCCTATTGTTCTTTGATAATTTTACAAAAATATATCCAAAACCATCTACATTTTCATGAAGTTGAATTGTTTTGGACTGCCAGTTGCAAATTCCTTGCTAATAGCCTGGGTCTCCTGGATGTTGGTTTCACAAGTGTAGTGATTCCTTTTCTTAAATGGCCAACCCTAAATCCAGTTCAATATGTAGGAGGCTCTTCTGATCCACCTTATTTGTTTATTTACTTTACATCGTCTCATACCTCATGGTTGCCATGGTTACCAGAAATTACCGTGTTTGCTATTTGTACGTCTTGAATAGGCACGTAAACCAAAGTTCATTATTTGCTATATCATTGAAAAGTGTCTTACTTTGTTTATCATCTATGAGATACACTGCTGTCATTTACATAAGTGTATATGTTACTAATACAGCAAATATGATAATGATTAGTTATTATTTTCATGCAATCTTTGTTTTGTAAATTGTTTATATAGTATTTCATAGATTAAGATTTAAAACACACTTATTAAATTATTGATGGCAACTATGACTTAGCTTCCTGGTTCCTATCCTATTGGCAAATAAATATAGCTGGAAGGCATGTCACCAGCTCCTTTTACAAGACTATAATAACTATGTACTTGGATGATTGATTCATGACTAGATTATCTATTTCCTTTCTGGACAACACTGATTGTCATGGTAACCTGGTGAAACCCAAAGATTTCCCTGATGTAATACAATTATTTGACTTTGAATTGTTCAAACCTAACCGGTTCATTTGAGTTGTTTATTTAAATGTCACCTTCATAGTATTGCCGGACACTTCTTGTCTTCCTCGCTACCAGCCATATATTAAGTTATGTACCTGTTGTTTACAGGATTATTTTCCCACACATGCATTCACTGATGCATACTATTTATAACCATAATAGCTGCCCTTAAGGCTTGTACTCTGACCTTTTGTACAGAAGATCACATTTTATTAGCTGCCTTTTAAGTAGTTTGTCTTTGTCTGTTGAACAATATG